TGCTTTGATCGAGTGTGTCATGCACAGTTACAGTAAATGTAGTACCGTTTTGCAGCGTCAGTTTTTGTTGCACCTTTGAGTCATTGGTGAACTGCTTTATAAAAAGACACAGGTACAACTAATGCATGCTCTGAATAAATCCAGTGCATGCAACAAGTTTTGCAAAATGCTGTGTGTCTGCAACAGAATGATGCAATAGTTATTAGCTAATAATAGTCATTCTTTTGATTAAGAATGAGAGTACATTTTATATTAGTACCTTTATCTCCATGCAATACAGTGTCAGTGTAGTCGTATTTAGTTTATGAAAGATAAAATAAAGTCATTTCCAGGCCACAATAAATACTGTGTAATGGCATTTTGAGAAGTACTTAGCACCCATGTCCTTGTCTTTATTTGCCTGGGCTTTACTAAGAAAATAAAGTGGCAGATTTTTTTATGCATTGTTGGAGTTTTCATATTAATTCATTTTACCCAGGTTTTGTTAATGTGTAACCTTTACTAAGATGAAGACTGAACCCCTCCCTTCTCTGTAGCTTTGCTGGTACCATGGAAGAGTGAGAATCACTAACATTCTTTCCTCATAATGTTCTGCTATGTCTTCCAAAAACTTGAACATAGTTCTAAAAAGGTCTGACAATGTCCAAACAACAAAAGGAGAGAAGAAGTCAAAGGGAAAAGACAAAACAATTGCCATCACCAATCTTGAGACAGATAGAGAAAAGCAGGATTTATAGTAAGTTTGTAGTTTTACTTGGCATCACATCTTAGATCAAGGTTAAAATTATGTCTTTGTGTTTCAAATCATGCCTGTATCATACAGTATACGTAGTGTATGTTTGACCCTTTGACCCTTTTGAAGACATTCAGTTGTCTTTATTACACAAAGGCCTCTTCCAGTGAATTTACAGTATCCACTGAAGCAACTTGGCAGGTCAAACGAGTTCAGAATTATTTGGACAAAGACGGATGTTAGCCAGGTCAAACAGTATGATGTGTGTAAACTGACAATGAAACACACACACACACACACACACACACACACACACAAAATAACCCTACAAGGAGGTGCATCTTATCTATCTGTTGCCATACAAACAGTAGATGAAAAACATCCTTCCTCTGGTGGCACAATAAAACTTAAAGAAAAGTGATGACAAATGATTTGTGGAAACAAAAGCAGCCCAGGGACAAACTCTGACTGTAGGACTTCCCACAAAGTCACTTCTAACCACAAAAGACCTCTACCCATTAAGAAAAAAAAAGTAAAAATGCTTCCAGGAAAACAACTGCCTCCATGTTAGTGATTAAATGCAATAATGTAATCTATACATATTTAAGATTCAGCCAGTGGAGATAATCCTCCTGGTGAAAGGAGCTGGATGGCAAACTAAGCTGGCCAGACTCAGTAAACAAGAACCCCCTCAAAATCGATGTTCTCTGTCTACCTTCTCTAGGTCATTTACAGTACGCTACCTGTTAAGATGGGTGTGGTTGTCGCTAGGGACAACAGCTACAGCCACACAGTAACAATGCATTAACACACAAATAATACTCTTTTTCTCTGTAAAGATCTGCTGTTCAGCTGTTTACTGTTGACCCCAGAGGAAATGGAAAAACACCCAAGAAGGGAAGCACCAATACAATAAGAAGGACTGGGGACATCTGGGAACTAAGAAAGACAGCGTGAGTAATGTAACTTTTTTTATCACCTGTCCCTAAGTGGTACATTTGCAGTTTGGCATGTTTACACTTCAGAAGGATGGTGTACTCAGCTTCAGACCCATGCTCAAAGTAGCTGTAAACAGACAACAAGAACTGTCACATTTGTTCCATGACTGGACTGTTTCCACTTTCATTCTCAGTGAAAGAAAAATACAACACAACACGTCGACATTACTCACAACTTCTTATCATTACCGTACAGAGTGAAGCTTCACTCACCTTTCTGTTACCTTGTCTGCTTTTGGTGGATCTGAAATTAAGCCTTATTTTATGGACATGCTCTCAGGAGACCTCAAGGGGGAAGATAAGATACTGGAGAGTCCCCTCGCTTGCTCTTTCAAAAGTTGTAAAAGGAAATGTACCCTGGGGGTTTATGAGTCACTAGTAAATTAAAATTAAGCAAATATGGTGACTGATAATCCACATTGACAGAGTATTTACAAACCTTTACAAACAAATGGCTGTAGAGATATTCCACTAAAATCCAAAAATGTTAAACCTGTTAGCAACCCTAGAGGTACAGTGCAGTCCAGGGATCACCACAGTCACTAGGATTCATCCACTGTTGGTACAACATATAATGGCATTCATTGTACAGACACTGATGGTTCCCAGACAATGTGACGTCATGATCATCTGACCACCTGACTTCGCCTCTAGCACCACCGTTAGGTTGACATTTGTGGTTTGATTGCGGTGTATTGACAGCTATTGGATGGAAATTTGGTACATTTATGTACCAGCCATGATTAATCATAATACCTTTGGTGATCACTTAACTTTTCTTCTACCTTCAATCTGTTGAATGGTTTATGACCAAAAACCTTCAAAATGTATGTTCCCAGCCACCTTGTCACTGTGAGCATGTTAGCATACTGATGTTGGCGTTTAGGTGAAAGCACCCCTGTGGCTAAGCAGAGCTTCACAGAGCTGCTAACGTGGCCATCAACTCTTGTTGTCCATTTACACAAGAGCATAGCTGCATTTGGCATTAGTCAGACCTTAAATGTTATATGACCCAAAATAAAACTGAACAACCGCATCAGCAAGTAGAAGTCCCCTGGATGAGTCTCCTGATGACTCACAAAAACCAGCTCAGATAAGGTATCTTTTCAGAAACCGAGCGTGTCCCTCTCATTCTGTCCCAGCCATTGGCTGTATAGGCATTAGACATGTCTGGTAACAGTCACTGCAGCATTCCTATATTGCACAAGGTTGCATGTTAGAACATACGGCAACTGCCCTGGCGCATTATTTCAGTTGCTAAAGGCACCCAGCAGTGTTTCGCTTACTCTTTCACACCTGACTCACCTTCTACACTTACTGTAGATATTACCTCACAAGCACCTGAGCCACAGAAATAGTGGTAATTTTTGTAGTAGTTTCCAAAATCAATCATTATGTCGCATGGAAAATACATTTTGCATGCATTTTGGAAAATACTCCTTGTGTCCTTGACAGATTTCTTGGTATGGAGCTCTGTTCCAACTATTTCTAGAGTATAGAAGGGGACTGCACTAATGTCACTGTGGGAAATGAGGACTTTAGTACCTAGTTTGTCATTTTGTGTGTATGTCTGGCTGATTTGTGAGTGGTTAAATTAACATCAAAAACAAAGCCAAATAATTTTTTGAGCATTAATTGCCCTGTCAGAACTCTCAGAGACTAACATTCAATCTATAGACATGCAGCAGTAAACCATATAGTAATGTAGTGTGGGTGTTTGTGTGGGTATTAGTGGTTGTGAAAGTTCTTAAAGGAAATTGCATCTTCATAGTTTATTTCACAGAATAACACCTCCACAAGCCACTGCATTCAACACAGTACTTGATTTTGTCAGTGTGACTATGCAGATGTAAACTATACAGTGAAAGCAACAGTAGTCACGTTAGAATTTAATTAGGTTCAGTTGGTCCTGTCATTATTTGTTCTTGTTGGATAACCCAATCAGTCTGTAGTCTCCCAGTTCTCAGGCCTGTAGTCTAATGCAATGTAATACAGTACACTGTTTCTTCCTTCATATAGCCTTTGCAGCTATTTTAGGACATTCACAACTACTGTATCTTGTGTGTTTATCACCCTGGCGGTAGCTGTCTCTGCACTGTTAATGACACTAGAGCAGAGCAGAATTAGGTAGTTACATGGCAACAGACGTTAATTTAGACCAGACGATTATAAAACACCAGGTACCATCAACTTTGTATCATCAAGTCTCAGGTCAGATCACTTTGTCTGATCTTCTTCGTCTCAGAGAGCTTTAATGTAGCTGACCTTAGGCCTTTACTCCACTGGTCTGGTGCCCTCCCGCCTGCTGTGTGCTAAGGGCCAGTTCCCTTTGCCCTGCAACTGAGGTTTTCCTCACTTGAAAACATATGTCTGGACCGTCTGATGTCCAGGATGTTACGTGTGTCCAGGAGTGAGATGTGTTGGCTAGTCAGCTGTCCAGAGCGCCGGGTCTTTAGTCACTGAGCCCTGAGCCTGACCCCAGACTGTCTGCAAATTAGAGAAATTAGCCTAGCCAGGCACTGACCAGTGAAAGAGCCCAAGTCCCCCCCCCCTTCCACCACACACACACACATACTCCTGCCACCACCTGTAACCCCCACGCCACACCGGGCAACAAAGCTCCACTCTTAGCGGTCCTGCCATATGGCAGCCAATTTTCACCAGCTACGTTAAGTAAGAGAGGGGGTGGAGTGAATGAAGTGAAGTTATAATGTAAAAAATTTAAATATGGTTATAGAAGTTCATTTTTGTCCAGAATGTGAAAATACACATTTTATTTGAAAAGTTTATATCTGTGTGTGTATTTTGTGAACCTTGAAAATCAAATACTGTTTCTTGACATTGTTTAATACGCTCTAATTCTTTTCCTATGGCTTTTATGGTATATATATTTTTTGCTTTTATGGTAAATATATATATATTGCAAAAATCAAGTGTGTAACATTTGGTAAGTTTGGGTAAAGTTGAAAGCTGGAAAGTAAATTGCAGTAATAAATCTAAACGAATAAACCAGTTGGTTCTGCACTATACTGTCACCAGTGTTAAATTAAGTGTTATAGGTGTTTTAAATCTAAGACAGTGTGTGTAAGAAGTCCGGTTTCACAGTTTGTATGTAAACAAAAAAGATTATATTTCATGTATGACAAAAATTGATCAAATCACATTTTTAATTCAACTTTCGATTAAAGACATACATTTCATATGCTTTTGCACTGGCCACATCTCCACAAATAGAAAAGTCACATTCTCTTTTTTTAGTCATCCATATGTGGTTGCCTATCTTGATGCAGACCACCACATCAGGTGACTCAGACCTATTACTAGGCTGTGCGAATATATATCTGAAAGTAAAGGGGATGCTTACCAGAAGGGTGTCTAAGTTTCTTTTCTGGGTCATTGTGTGACCTGCGAATGAGCACTAATCTGTGTGTGTGTGTGTGTGTGTGTGTGTGTGTGTGTGTGTGTTAAGAGTGAGAAAAACAATTTATGCTTACATTTACAGTGTGCATTTTGTGTGAGGAGCAGATATGTCAAACATTTTACAGATGTTATTAAAATCAAAATATAGAAGACAATATGTGCTCATATTTGCCTGTATGGGTCTGTGGTTGATTTATTTATTTATTGCATGCGTGTGTGTGACTGCAGGGGTCTTAGATCTCTGCTGAGATGTAGGTCAAGGAGATACAGCGGCAGCAGATTGCTCATTAAGTGCCAAACCAAGCAAAAGTCGAAGTGTGTTCTTCAGTGGTAACAGGCCAGCCATCTGCTCTTCCTTTATTCATTCATTAACATGTGTGTGCGTGTGGATGCATGTGCGTATGTATGCGTAAGCATTCATCACAACAGCCACTTGCTGGCCAAGTGTACAATGCCACTGATGTTGTTGTCCAGAACTAACAGCTTTGTGTCAGATGGTTCGATCACGTGAGCACAGTGGCTTGTGATTGGCCAGCTAAAAAAGCTTGGCACAATCCAGGCTCATGACTTTCTGGTGACAGTGACAGAGTGGCCAGAGTGAGAGTGGATACCCAGAAGATCTAAGTGAGAGGAACCGCTGAGGACGCTTTAGGGAAGGAAGAGAGAGTAGAAAGACAACAGAACGACCCAGGGATGGCATAGTCAAAGAAATGATGATGCTACAGCTGAATGAATGCATGAAAGTAAGTTGTACCTTATTTCTTTTTTGTTTTCAGTGATGACGATGGATAGTTTGAAGAGAGAAATGATACAGAATGCGCAGAAATGGACTGGCTGACCTAAAGTGTTGGCCTCTTAAGAAATGGCTGGTTACCCTGGATGGCATTAGATGTTGGCCAAGCAGTGTCAATGAACTTTGGCTCTTCATGACTGGAAACGGGTGTCTGAATAATGAATGACTCTCAGCAGGCATTTTAAAATAAAGTCATAGAAAATGTCTGGGGATTTATTTAGGGCACACAGTAAGAGGGGTAATTGATTTTGGTTACAGATAATACTTGTATTGAACATCATAACTTTACTGAACACTTTCTAACCAGATACCTTCAAATTCATAACAGATTTCTATGGCGCTGACACCTTTTTTTCTCTCCTCCTGCTTTTCTGTTTCAGATCTCGGGCTTTAACCAACCTACCTAAGACAAGGGATCTACCCCAACCAAACCAAAGTACTTTATACCAAAGCAACCGGGACAGAAATAAGCCAAATTAAAGGTCTAAAGCCTTGGTCTGTCAGCTTCAGTGTATTCTGTATTGTTGAGATGAAGCTGGATAGCACATCAGGAGATGTGAGTGGCTGGAGGGAGGTGGATTTTGCCCTCAACTGTACCTACATTGTGCCAGACCAGGTATCAGACCCCAGCTTTAACCTGCCCAAAGCTATAACCTCCATCCCACGTAATCTCACCTTCGAATACGACACAGACAATGAGGTAAGTCAATTCCTTTAAACTGTTTATCCGTAAAGGCATAAAATGACTCACTCTTTGTAAATGCAATACAAATACACAATCAATATACCAATATACGCTTAAACTTTACACTTAAAAATAATGATTCTGTGTTACATAACATTCTTTTGGACCATGTGCACAGGTTTACTTTGAACTAAAGATCTGCTGACTAATGAGTTCTTCACAAATACCGTACAGTGCACAGTGTGTATGAGTGAATGTGGGTAGTGGACTTGAGGCTAGGGGCCTTTTTTGTCACCTTATCTTCCATTTATAGCTACATCCCCCTTCTTTACATCTCTTTCTCACACATGACAATGCGTGCAGGCACTGTCATGAACAGATGCACAAAATAAGATGTCAGGGATCAGCTTGGCAATCATCATATTTCATCAAAACCTCCCTTCTCTTCTTTACAACTGTGCATTCCTCTTTACCGGCTACACCCTTCCCCCACTCAGGTGTATCAGGAAACACATATGTAACATCTCAGTCAGCTGACTCTTTGGCTCCCAGTGCAATAGGTAGGCATTTGCCTGGACATGTCACCTGCTGCAGAGCACTGCAATCATGCCTCCAAGCAAGGTTGAAATAGGAAATGTGGTAGCTAAAGAGAAAATTATCATGTTAATAGGAAGAGAGAGCGCAATGTCACACTTACTTTTTTTAAGTCACTCTTACCACTCTGATGCTTGTGGTTGACTTTGTTGTCCCTTCCTGTTTCTGTCCTAACCCAGGCAACACTTTCTGCCATTGTTCCTCTTCTTTAACTCTCATACACTCATCTCTTCTTCCTCTCCCTGCAGCATTTACAGTTGCAGGATGAGAAAATCCTGCAAACTCTGACGATAAAGTCACACCCGAGGGCTAATTTAAACTCCCTGCACCTTATTTACCGACCAACACATCTTACAAATACTTGACACTCACACCTTAGGCAGCCAAACTTCATTTTGCATTTTGCTTGTGTTCACATGTAATAGTGTTTGGTGACCAGTTGCAACAAATGTCATTTTGATGTAGTTTATTTAATATCCTCATACTCAAACACTTACTGATATACATTTGAATGTTTATCTATGTGTATTTGCACCGAATGAGACCAGATAAGAAATGAAACATAAAAATGAGCACACACTCCCATGGTTCCAGTAATCTAGTTTGCTTAAACAGACTCTGGTTTATTTCAGTGGTTTCCCTTCCTAGAGTTAATGTCATGTGAATCTTTGTCCTTGACTCGTTTTAACCAAAGCTGGGAAATTCATTTCCCTTGATGATTTTGAAATACAGCCGCTGGTTTGTGTGGGTTTGTGGCATAGTGCACGTGCATGCGTCAACCTTAAATTAAGGCACAGTTCACACAGTCATCAGGAAGGCTCAGACGATTGGGATTTTTCACAGATCTAAGAGTCTGAATGGAAACAAAGAAGGTAGTCAAATGATTTGTTCTTCATGCATGGATAGCATATCATCATGCAGATGAACACACTCTCAGTAGCTGCTTAGCACCTGTTTGGCAACTCATTTTTATCTCGAAGTGTGCCACAAAAGCTGAGGATGGTTCAAGGGGCATTTTGGAGATGGGGTGTCAGCAGGTGTTGTCAATGAGGGAGGAGAAGGAGGCAGAGGAGGGAGAAGCTGAGGAGTGGATGGGGGGTGATTTAGGTTAAAACCAGATGATTAACTTTCATTACAGACAGGCAGCCAGCCAAGAATCAGGCTTCAACCTGGCTGGTACACAAGTTATTTTTAGAGAGCCCAGAAAAGACAAAGGATCAGGGGAGGGCTGGGTTTTCAGGAGTGTGATAGCGTGGGTCCTCTTAAGAATGTCCATCATCCTTTCTTTCTTTCCTCAACACCCTCCTCCCAGCCTGGCTGAACTGAGCAGTTAATGAGCAGCAGAAGCCCAGCAGCCACAGCGATTTGTTAGTCACGCAACACCAGCAGAGCACAATGTCCCTGTCACACTGGGTCATCGCATCCAGGAGTCACCTCACTCGACGGCTGCTTGACACACACGCTCCTGCTGCCCTCAGTGACCTGTCGCTCTTCTAATTAACTGCTTATACATTGTTCACTAAAGCTTTGATAGTGTTATAAATAATCACAAAATGTTACCATGTTGTTTCTTAAAGGGTGACCTCTACATAGGAGGCCAACCTTTTGGGGGGGATTTAAGGATTGAACACAAGGCGCCTCAAGACAGTGAGGTTGCATTGTGTGTGCCTCCGATGCTGCTGCCTGGTGGCATATGTGTGTGTGTTTGGGTTGTATTTAGAGGAGACTTGGCCTCAAGCCTGTGCACTTAAGCAAAAACACACTGGCATAACCAGTATGTCCATGCTATAGATTTTTACCACTGCTGTTTTCTGATTCAACTCACCAAATTAAAAAACAACAACCTGAAAAGGTCCAAATGAGTCAGTAACCTACAGAACAGGGAATGTTTTTTTCCTACCACATACCTTACTGTATGTCTATATGCAACACGGGACTCGCATAGTAAAAAGAATAAAAATGAAAAAATCCCACACTTGTTTCATTTTTGCTGTTCCAAATACGTAGGGTCAGATTTGATACACCTAGTGTATTCCAGGGGATGCAACCGCAAACAAAGGTCTGATGTATTTTCACATGTCTAGGTACAGTAGAAGTGAGCAGAGTTCTGAATTCTGCCTTCAAGTGCTCTGTTGGGTTTTAAATCAAACGTGTAGTATTGTAAATGAGCGATCAGTGAGTAATAATCCACATGAGATTATCCATCAGTATGCTCTAAGATAATCATGTATTTGATCTATTTTCCAGGTGACTGGCGTGTTCAGCAAGGAATACATACCTCAGGGGACTCGCTTTGGCCCCCTGCAAGGAGACATCTACACCAAAGACAACGTCCCCAAACAGGCCAACAGAAAATACTTCTGGAGGGTAAGGGAAGCAAATGTACATGTGCATATGACTATGCAAATGGATATTTATGCAGAGGAAAGCCAAAAGATGAGAAAATGATACAGGATTAGTCAAGGCCTTACTGGGGGGCCTGTTTTCATCTTCCTGTTATTCAAGACAGAAAAAAGTGTCGATTGCTCAGATAGAGAAGTTTCACATCAAGTCCATCTCAATACAGTACGTCAATAAGGAAACAAAAATGCTTTCACACAGATTGCACTGGCCTGCAGGGGTTTTGGTCAAAATTTTAGAGGAAGTTGCAAACAGCAGTGGCACGTAACCATTGATTCACTCTCATATAGTCATCAGACACTTACCGGCACTAAGGACCTGTGCAATGTGTCACACACACAAAGGAAGGGCCTTATTGTTCAATACATACACACGCAATCTCTCAGACAATCCTTGTCTTTCCGCCCCTTTTTACTGTAGTTTTCAAGTCCCCAGTTTCTTTTCTCTCTTTCATCCAGACATAGCTTCTATCACTTAGGAAATTTTCTATTCTGCTGAGTCAATTCCCATGAGGATTTTTTTGCTGCCATACTACGTATTTTCCTTCCGGGTTTGGTTCCTGTAAACCTGTGTAAAGGGGTGTTCCTGCCCTGCCGCGATAGTGAAAGTCTAATGTTTCCCAGGAATAATTACAGTATGTTATCAACCTTATGACACAGGTGCATAGTGACAGCGGGTGTGTGCTGCCAAAGTCATGCTTGTGTGTGTGTGTGTGTTTGAGTACCTGGCTGCCTGCCAGGTCCTTTCTGTCATCCTGCTAGAAGTTACATTTCTCTTTCATCTTATTTGTTTTCATAAAGCAACACAGACATTTATGTTTGAAAGAAATGATCATTATTAAGTATAGCACTGACATGTAATCCATAACCTAAGCAACAAGACTGAAACAATAATGATACTAAAAAAGTGAGAAAGAGAAAATGAGAAGTAGGAGAGAAAAGAGGGAGAGTGACAGAGGCCCCACCCACACGATGCTGCTTTAAATATAGTTACGCTCACACAGGAGTTTAAGTCTCAGAGCACAAAGAGCAGAGCTGTAGCAAACAAACCAGCGGAGCTAAATTCTGTAACTAACTGAAGAGGATACAGGATATTTAACTGTACATGGCAGAGGTGAATATTCAGATTTTTATAATACTGATTAATTTAAATGTTGTAAAATATATTCTTGTTTCAATATTGTTTTGATGGTTTTGTGTGAATTTTAATTAACATTTCAATCAGCATCATAGCGTAGCATCAAATGTTGTTAACTGTGGATGTGGCCATTGCAGTGGTTAAATAATAAAATGGTTGCTTTACAAGTCTGTGTGCGTCTTATTCAAGTATCCAATATGTACATTTTTTTTAATTCAGTCATCTCACTTCTTCTTCTGCAGATTTACAGTGGTGGCCAGCTTCAAAACTTCCTCGATGGCTATGACATTCACAAGAGCAATTGGATGCGATATGTCAACCCGGCCCGCTCTCTGGCTGAACAGAACCTGGTGGCGTGCCAAAATGGACGGGACATCTACTTCTATACCATTCGGCCAGTAGAGCCCAAACAGGAGCTGCTGGTCTGGTACAGCCAGGAGTTTGCCCAGAGGCTCTGCAGCCAGCAGGACGTCAGCAAACACAGTGAGTACACCCGGAGCAGAAGCTTTCTCTGTTTGTGGAACCAGATGTAATGGTCTTGTCCACAGGCTTTGCAGAGCTTAAACTAGACAAGATTAATAAATATCCTGAGGAAAGAACAGATGATGCAAACCTAAGTGGCTGTTTATGATGTGATGAAAGATGTTGGAAGTAAAATATCTCAGCAGTTTTGTCCATAAAACTTAACTTACAAGTGGATCTGCTGTAAACCAATCACCATACTGTATTTGGTAAACTTTATTCCCTCTGGCTTTCCATACATCTTGCTGAAGTTAAAGAGAAGTCGTTAAAGGCAGCTGATTATCAGCTGTTTTGATGTTGAGGCAGCACAGTGATTCATAGAAACCCTGGTTATGTTTCTTTACTTGATCTGATATAGTGACAGATTAAGACCTGTGCTATGAAAAACAGGTAGCACAAAGTCTGCCTCCAATGACGATAGCTATTATCAGCTAAATTCTTTCACCTCAACATGAATCAAAACACGATTCCATTCACAGCTGCTTTGATACTATTCACACATAGACCAAACAAATCTCAGTGTTTCATGAAATGTGGTAAATGAGGTGGAATTTTAAGGAAAGCAGAGAAACCAAAGGGGAATCATGGTTGTACAAAGCACCTTTGTGAGTCATTTTTCTTCAGCTATTCAAGTCATTCCCTTCTCATTCTCAGCGACTCTCTGTTGCCACAAAGTCTGATGATTCATTCCAACTGGACACACCAGATGCGTCGCCTATTCTTGGTGACTAATGCTAAGGTGGTGTCATTGCTTAGTTTCATCAGCTTCAAAGGTTTTAAAAGCATTCTTCTTCCTTTAAATCACAATCCAGGTTTGTCATTGTTTGCATCGATTGTAAATGTATTCTAGTTTGGACCTAAAGCTTTGTGGGAGCACTTGAGTCCATAAACACAGAGGCTATCTTCAGTCAGTTTCAAGTGCTTTCCATTGTAACTGACAAAGAATAAAAACAGATGAAGTGTGTGGTTCAGGTCTTTGCAAGCTCATTTTCATATTAACCTGAATAATAAAGGAAAAGAGCAGCTGAGATAAAGATATTTATAGTAAATTGTAATTAAATGTGATCGCAGTAAAAAGGTTAAAACACATGAAAAGAGTGGCACAACATGGCCCCTTAAATTACCTTCAAGGTAACTAGCACAATTATTGCTCGCACAGAAGCAGAGAGGCGATACCTTTCTCAAATAAACACATATAACAAAAAAAGAAGGGATATTTCACATATTCTTGTGGCCACTATGGTAAGACAGCTATACCCAGAAAAAGCTTCAACCAAGAAAACTGGGAATCTTACTGTGCAACTGCTCATGACATGACACATAGACTCCCACACACTTTACCACCAACACATTCTCCCACACCACAATCACTACTGCGATTGACAAACAGAAACCTGTACCTTCTGATTGACGTGTCATGTCAAAACTGAAACTACTATCATTTACCATAAGAGGGCGTGCCTTCTGTGGGCAGATGTGTGTCTCTGTCTGAGACATATTTTACCTTTGAGTTTATGAAAACTAAATAGGCACTGTAATGAGTTCCTCTATAAAAATGGGGATTCTGTCTGTCTTTTCTTTTGCTGATGCCACTATATGCCCCCTGAAATCGGTCAAAATACTCAGTATGTTTTCATCTTCTCTCACAGAATACATGAGTGCTAATGAGGAGCCAGAGTATAGTAAACAGCACCTACCTCAGCAGATGTGGCTTAAAGACAGAGCACAGGAAATGATAAAAGAGAGGGATGAAGAAGAAGAAGAAGAGGAGAAGATTGATGTGGAGATGTTGGAGAGGGACACTCCACCTGACACGCCTGATGAGCAGATCATGGACTTCAGTAAAAAGACTGAGAAAGATGAAAAGAGAGACCAGGAGCTTGAGGACCAGGGAATTATTCCCTCTGCTCAGCCTGAGCACAGACAACCCAGCCTGGGCTTGAATCACCCGTATTTACCTGATCACCCTGGGCTCCCGCCTCCACACCGAAATCTCCCTCTTCATCTCCACGGCCTCTATGGGCACAGAGAGGGGCTGATGTCATCTTACCCTCTTTACCCTCAGTCCAGACCCCTCCATCCCTCTTACCAGCTTTTCCCCCTATACAGCCCACACTATCCTCACCTCACTCTCCCCTCATACTCCCCTCCCTTTCCAGGGATGCTGCCCTCCAGAGGATCCCTCCGATACAGTGACTATCTGAGCACAGATGGACTCCCATTACTGCCTAATCTACTTCCAGTTTCTCTCCCCTACCCTTCATCTCCACAAGGAAGTCTGAAAGAATTAACACCAAATGTGTCACCACCTCGAGGCGCCCCAGCCACACCAGAGCTCTCCCCTCTCCCCAAACACAACATCCAGCATCTGTCCCCTGAGCAGTCTCCTTCTGGCTGTGAGGAGGCCATGAATTTAAGCCTGGCTACAACCAAAAGCAACATAGCACCATGCAACAGCCCTGGCCACAGATCTCTGCCCTACCCACTGAAGAAGCAGAATGGAAAGATCAAGTATGAATGTAACACCTGCTCAAAGACGTTTGGGCAGCTGTCAAACCTCAAGGTAACAGCTTCATTTACACTCTCCCATAATTATGATTCATTTTAATGCATTCTCATTTTAGACACCAAAAATTGTGCTCATGACTTTTCTGTTGTATGATCTGTGTAAATGTAGGTCCACCTCCGAGTACACAGTGGCGAGAGACCTTTTCAGTGTAACCTGTGTAAAAAGAGCTTCACTCAGCTGGCCCACCTCCAGAAACATCACCTGGTCCACACAGGGGAGAAACCACATGAATGCCAGGTATGTTGAATATTATAACTTATGTGTGTTTTCTCCTCCCTTGAGGAGGCTTCTTACAAGCTCTTCACTAATCTCACCATGGCGTTGATGTAAAGAGAGTGAGAGCCATGCAGAGAAACACTGCTTATGCGTAAATGCTCTCTGACTCACATACCTGTTTGGTAATGCAATGTCTTGTTGATTTTTATTGAGCCACTACCCACCCTGTCATGAAATAGTATCTACGAATGTTTGCTAATGTGACTCAGAACTGGTCTTACAAAGAAAAAGAAGTGGTCTGTCTTGTTTTAAGAAAGTACCCCAGGGAACAGGAATAACATGGTACTACACTAATAATAGCATCAAGATGACATTATACTGTACTGCTGTTTCTCCATAATAACCCCAAACACAACCCATACAGTTGTGTAAAGGCATTAGTAATCAGTCATGTGAATGCTGCTCACAAAAGACCATGTCATGATTTCCAGGTTTGTCACAAACGCTTCAGTAGCACCAGCAACTTGAAGACACACCTTCGACTTCACTCTGGGGAAAAACCTTACCAGTGCAAGCTGTGTAGCACCAAGTTCACCCAGTACATTCACCTCAAACTGCACCGACGCCTCCACACCAGCCGCGACCGCCCTTACCACTGCCAACTCTGCTCCCAGGCTTTTTTCCACTTCTTCTCCCTCTGCATCCATCAATACAGCTGCTGCCTGGCTAACACCAGTTCTCCAGTCAACATGCATATAAAACAGATGGTGGAGCGATTTGACGCCAGCCAAGAAGCCGACACGCTCACGGAAACGGCGTCGGCACCACAGGTAGAGGACGCTCTTGAGCAATGGTTGGCTCGTACCCTGGAAGGTGAGGAAAAGGAGGATCAGAAGGAGGCCACCATGCTGCTGAAAGCTCTGACAGTAGCTATTAAGGCCCAGTCAGCTGCACCTGCCTCACATCATAGCCCTCAGATGGTCTATCAAGAGAGGGCGAGCGTTGTTCAACTCCACAATGGCCAGCGGTGACCACAGAAGGACAGTGAGGAGAAATACATATACACCATATCATCAACCAAGAAAAAAGATGCTGCCAAATAAAACTCCCTACTTTACCCACACTGGGTATAACAGGGAGTATAAATGTTCATAATCCAAAAGATGTGTAATCCAAAGACTGGATAAAGATATCCAGTGATTTTCAATAACTCCTGAAACTCAGTTTTAAAGATTAGACGAGGAAGGTGTTGTTAAGCTGTGAATTTTGGTCTTTTCACTCAGGTAGAAAAGTGTTTGCTTTTGTTGTCCTTTAACTTATGTTTTTAAAGATTTGAGTACCCTATATTTATTTGGTTGTATTGTAGTTTGTTTTTTCTGTCAGTGTTTTTTTCTATGTGTTGACATTTCCAAGGAGACTTGATCACTTAGGAAAACCACAAATGGACTCAGGAACAATAACATGGCATTAACCTGTGGATGAGTCTTATTTGTTCTGTTGTTTTCCTGTGTGTGATTGTATTTGAGCTTCTGAGTGCATGCAGTGCATACAGATCGTGGAAGCACACAAAAAAGAACAGGCCACATTTACAGGAGAAACCACCTTCCTGCTCCTCAACTGTTTGTGACTTATTTATTTATTTGTGATTAAAAAGGGAGAAATCGGGTATCTTGAAACTGTGTGTTAATAAGCGACAAATCAAAGAATGTGAATATGTAGCACCATGTTATCATTATTCAGCTGATTTTAACAGTAAAAAGAAGGAAAAAGACAAAACATTCTGATTTTTGTTTGTTTGTGGCTTGTTTTTTGTTGTTAATGCAGTTTCTCAGGGCTAATTTAGATATCAATGTGTCAAAAACACAGTGTGCTGAACAAAATGCTACCAAAAGACCACAAAAAAAACAAACAAACTACAGATTCAGTGTGATCACAGTGATGAAAAATGGCTTTTATTCTTTATTGCAGGAATGTTTTTATGTATAAACTTAATTCTGAGTAATTAAGCGGATTTCTCTGTAGCTTTTTACTGGATTTCAAATATATTTATAACATACAAAGCTGTTCTGTAAATATTTATAAGCACAGGCTTCATCCAAATCCTAATTTAAACATTTATAGCTCATATTTAGCATTGGACAACGTTGGAAAAAAGGGAGACGGCACCATGCTTTTCTAGCATTCTTACTATTTTTGTCACTTAGCATTGGAATGAAAATGTTTGCATTTGGTGTTGAAAGACAATCATTCTTGAAAATTGTACTTCTGAGTAATAATGTACTTTTTTTGTATGTTTGTCTGTGTAGTTTATTTTTGGAAACAGGTTATGTACTGAAAACTTTTTATACAGACTATTTTGATGATACTTTTACATGATGTAGCATATTAAAGATATTGTTTCTATACATCTAGTGCTTTGCATATATTTGGTATACAATTTTCAGAATGAAAAAATACAGCATCTGGGAGGGAGGAAAGGACATTATGAAATCCAATGATAAATGGAGCATCTGTTGAGCTTTTTCTGACCCTGCTGTCTTAATACTGAACCTTTCCTCAAAATGTTACTGCTGCTAGTTATGCTTTCCTCCAACCCTCCCAACCTCCTCCATATGAAAGCTGTCGAGGGATAACAGAAAGTTTAAGTTTTTAAAAATTTTAAAGTTTAAATCGATTAAGTTTTAAGCTGTCCATTTTTGTTTGTTAGCAGTTTTCTTTTTCACTGCCTGGAGCATTGCTACATTTGTTGACCCATTAGTACTGCTACCAACACGTCAGTAGACCAGATGCAAATCCCATCACCCACATGCTTGCAAGTGTATCCTTGTGCACAATACAAACAAACAAACAAACAAACAAAACAAAAACATAAACAGGGCATCCACTTGCAAAAACAATATTTCAGAAGGTGTTAAGTCTATAACCTGGTGCAATCATTTCAGACCTGTCACTAGTCACCGCCCACCCGTCCCCTCAGCCTCACGGTGGACCAGGTCAGGAGGGAATTAAGGAGGATTAAAGCCAGGAAGGCCACAGGCCCTGACCACATCAGCTCCAGGGTCCTCAGGGAGTATGCAGAGCAGCTCAGTGAAGTGGTCCTGTACATGTTTAATCTTAGCCTGGAGAGAGTTCCGGTTCTGTGGAAGTCATCCTGTGTGGTCCCAGGTCCTAAAATAACTCATCCCAAGGAGCCAAACCACTACAGACCCGTTGCCCTGACCCAGGCCCGGCCCTAACCAATTTGTTGCCCTAGGTAAGATTTCAGGTGGCGCCCCGTTGCATCGCAGTAAATTCCACTGCTAGTGTATATACTCATAAGAAACGTAATAGCTTTGTCTTGGACATTCTTTTATTTAAATAAAGCAATTGCACTTAGAAAGAATTAAAGAAACAAATACAAAAAAATGAACTGAACATATGAAATACAATATAAATAGCTTACATAAAGTACCTATTAATACTCCCAAAATAAAAAGTGTAAACAAGTGACATTAACTTAAAAATACAATATAAATACGGCACTGTGCAAAATAAGATATTAAAGAAACGAGTAGGCACAGAAAAATACAAGGATTTAAATAAAAAATAAAAGATGATCTTACAAAGCTCTAGTGGTGTTTTTGGTACTGCCGTAACTTAAAAACTACACCATCACCTCCTCAATCTCACATAACCTGCTACAGCTTTACTCTCCTGGTTTTTCTTGCAGCAAAGTCATCTACAACATCATCATATGACAACTGATTTGAGACCACATGGTTTATGCTTATAATGGCAAGTCCACTGAGACGTTCTTGCATCATAGTAGATCTCAGGTAA